CCTATCCATCCCTGTCTCCATGCTCTTCAAATCTACTGAAGCCCACCAGGCCCCTACATTTCTCCCCATGCCTGTGGGGCTGCCCCACATGACCCTCCTTGCCACGGGGTAAGGGCACATCACTGTCAGCCTGGGCCGCCCAACCCCAGGGAACGGGCTTTCCCTTCCCTTCCCCTTGTGCATCCAGACATGGCCACCACTGGGGCAGCCACATCTACTCACCAGTTGCTCCTCTCCAGGAAGACGGCCCAGCTGGCGTTGAGCAGGAAGCTGTGCAGTCTCTCTGGGAATGGGAGATTACTTGGCAGCTGAGCTTCAGCGTCCACTCTGGGTTAGTTTCACATCCAGGTCCTCTGGGAGGGAGGAGGGGAGGCAGACATCGCTTCTTGGCTTCCTCATGGCTGAGCCGCTGCCCACCCCAGCTGCCTCCGAACCTGTGGATTTCTGGGGAGAACGCTGCTGGGAAGTCACGGGATCCCGTCTCCTTTGAGGCAGCCCCTGGGCATCTCTGTCCTGTTAGCTTAAATGCGCAAGTGCCAGCCAACTAACACCTCCCCCTTCCTCCCAGGAAACACAGTGTCAGTGGAGGAGGCCAAGCTACCTTCATGAACCAGGGGATGTGGTCTCACTTCTAAATGGCACTGCGGCCCTGTGCTCATCACAATCAGAAATGCTCCACGGACATCCTCCATTCCCATCCAGCCCACCAGAATCTCAGGGCAGTATGGAGCTCTCTAGACCTCGGGGCTGACACCCAGACACTGCCATTGGTGCAGTGCTCTGACAAACTGCCCACAGTCAGGGTACTGAATGGAGGATACCTGCCCAGCATCCCTGGCCTAGCCGGTGGCCAGGGCTGCTGCCCGGAGTCAGACAAGCAGGGCTGGTGCTGTGTTACAGCACGTTAAAGCCACGGCATGCAGTGCTGTCTTTCCATGTTGGTGCCAGTGTGTGTTCTGGCTGCCCCACTTCCAATCCAGCTCCCTCCTAATGTGCCTGGGGAAGCGGTGGAGAATGTCCCAATTCCTTGGGCCCCTGCAGCCACATGGGACACCCAGAAGAAGGTCCTGGATCCTGACTTCATATTGGCTCAGTTTGGCCATCACGGTCATTCCGGGAGTGTACTGGCAAATGCAAGACCTCTCTCCCTCTCTCACTCTCATACTCTCTCAATCTCGTTCACCTGCACTTGTTCTGTTTCTCTCTAATTCTTTTTTTATTTTATTGATTTTTTTTGACAGGCAGAGTTAGACAGTGAGAGGGAGAGACAGAGACAAAGGTTTTCCTTCTGTTGGTTCACCTCCCAAATGGCCACTATGGCCAGCGCTACACCAATCCAAAGCCAGGAGCCAGCTGCCACCTCCTGTTCTCCCACGTGGCTGCAGGTGCCCAAGCACTTGGACCATCCTTCAATGCCCTTCTGGGCCACAGCAGAGTCCTGGATACTTGGGTATCCAGGACTGGAAGAGGAGCAGCTGGGAATAGAACCTGGTGCCCATATGGGATGCCGGCATTACAGGCGGAGGATTAGCCAAGTGAAACACGTTGCCAGCCTTCTCTCGAATTCTTAGAAATAAATGAAATAAATGTTTTTATTAAAAAAACCCACATTATCATCTCATTAGATAGAGAAATAACCTGAAAGATCCAATCCCATTCATGATAAAAAAAAAAAAAAACTTCCACAAAGTAGGTATAAAAGGAATAGGCATCAAAATCTTAAAGGCTATGTATCACAGCTCAACAGCCAATGTCATGCTGGATGGGCAAAAAGTGAAAGCATTTTGGTCAAACATGTAACAACACAAGGATATCCCCTTTTAAAATTCTTACTGAATGTAGTACAGTAAATTTTCACAAGAGAAAGAAAGGAGAAGAAAGAAATAAACAGCACCTAGATTATAAAAGAGAAAGTGAAATTCTAAAAGCTTACAGGTGGCATGATATGGTACCAGAAAAAAACTATAACAATCCACCAAAAATACTGCTAGAACGGGTCAAACAATTAAGTGAAGTTTCAGGTTATGAATAAACATAGTGTGTAAGCAGCAGTTTTTATACATTAATGATGAACTCACTGACAGAGCAATCAATAAATATCCCAAGGACAATAACCACATAAATAAAAAGTTTAGGAAAAATTTAACCAAAGAAGTAAAAGAGCACTAAATGAAAATCACCATACACTGATGAACGAAATCACCAAGGACACAAAAGTGGAAAGATGTCTCTTTTGGTGGATTTGAAGAATCAGTATAATTAAAATCTCTACCTTGCCTAATGCTACCTAAAGATTCAATTAAATTTTCATCAAAACACCAATGACGTTTTTTACAGAATTATATACCACAAACCTATAATTCAAACAAAATCACAGAAGATACAGAATAGATAAGGTGTTTCTGAGCAAAAAGTGAAACAAAGTTAGCCTGGATACCTCACAACACCTGATTCAAAGCATTCTACAAATGACACTAAACAAAATATCATAGCACTTGCATAAAAAGTGACACACAGACCAATGGAAGAAAACAAGGCGAGCTCCACTATTAATCAAAATATGTTCAATACCATATTTTTACAAAAGGTCTCAGACCATCCATTGGAGTTCTTCAACAAGTGGTATTGCCAAAAAAGGATGTATTTGTGTAGAAGATTGAAATTAGATTCATAACTCCAATAAAATATAAAAATCAACTCAAAATGGATCGGAGTCCTAAATCTATGACCCAGGACTGTGAAGCTTTTTGAAGGAAATACAGGCCGGCGCCGCGGCTCACTAGGCTAATCCTCCACCTAGCGGCGCCGGCACACCGGGTTCTAGTCCCGGTCAGGGCGCCGGATTCTGTCCCGGTTGCCCCTCTTCCAGGCCAGCCCTCTGCTGTGGCCAGGGAGTGCAGTGGAGGATGTCCCAGGTGCTTGGGCCCTGCACCCCATGGGAGACCAGGAAAAGCACCTGGCTCCTGGCTCCTGCCATCGGATCAGCGCGGTGCGCTGGCCGCAGCGCGCCGGCCGCGGCGGCCATTGGAGGGTGAACCAACGGCAAAGGAAGACCTTTCTCTCTGTCTCTCTCTCTCACTGTCCACTCTGCCTGTCAAAAAAAAATAAAAAAAAATAAAAGAAGGAAATACAAAGAAAGCTCCAGACACTGGAATAGGGGATGACTCTTAGACAAGACCCTCAAAGCCCAGGCAGCTAAAGCAAAACCAAACAAATGGGATCAAATGAAATGAAAAGCTTTGCACAGCGAAGGAAATCATCATAGAGTGAAGAGACATTCACAAGAATGACCAAAAGATACTTGTCAGCAACCTATATGAAAAGGGTTAATATCAGGAATTCATCTGCAACTTAAAAAAAAAACACCAATAAAAACCCAACCCAATCCAGTTATGAAGTAGCCAAAGGAGCTCAACAGACAGTTCCCCATCGATATACAGATGGCCAAGAAATACAGGAAAAATGCGCAACATCACAAGCTATCAGGGAGATGCAAATCCAACCCACAATGAGATATCAGCTCACACGTACATAGTGGCTAAAACCCAAAGGACGGAGAGTTACAATGAGGAGGAAGATGTGGGAAAAGGGAAAAACTTACCCACTGGTGGTAAAAATGTAAATTAGTGCAGACGCTGTGGAAAACGGTATGGAGATTTCTTAAAAACCAGACAGACTTGCCATACGATATGGAGCAATCCCTCTACTGGCTATAACCCAAAACACATGAACATATTGTATCAGAGAGATACGTCCACCACAATATTTATTGCAGTATGCTTCACAGCAGCGAAAACAAGAAATTGACGAAGTCTTCTAACATCATCGTTGAATGGGTAAGAATAATACTATACACACACACACACACACACACACACACAGTGAAACAACCTTACAAATCCCTCTTTCCACAAACTTTTTCAGGGACCCACATGATGCTCTCTGCATTACCTTAAGTAACTAGAACAAATGTGGGCACATCACAGACACTCCTTTGAAACCCAAGAAAAACACGTTTACCAAGAGAAAAGTCCTCTGCTATAATTCTGACTTCTACAAACTGAATACAAGCCACAAACTTCATTCCTAGGCTAAGTCAGGTTCTCCATGTACCTAAGCCCCCTATCAACACTTATCTTATTTCAACTAAGATCTTCTCCATCTCTTGGTAGTGGGGACACTTTGGTCAAATTTCCTGATTAACTCAGCACCCATTCCCCAGTACCTTCTGAAAGGTCCCTCTGACCACCTCCTGATACCCTTTCCCTCACTTTCACTAAGGTTTCTCCCCAGGCCCTGTCCCGGATCTAACACTCTGATGCTCCACTAGTTCTTACAAGTAGTTCTACCAGCTCCTCCCTATTACAACTCTCCTCAAAGTCACCTGCCTTCCTCCATGCAACCCTTCTATTTTCCCTTTCTATCACTGGATGGTGACATACAGAAATAACCTGTTTTCAGCTCCCCAAACCTTGCATGAACCAGGTTCTTCCCATGGCATCTAACCCTCCACTCCCACTGCATGAATTACTTGCAATCCCATCGTCCTTAGCCTGAAAATCTAAAACATAACAACTATTACCACGTCTCTCCAAAGCAGACTTCTTATCTTTTGTACTCTGAGTCAACACATGCAGTTTTCCTCCCAGGTCTCCCTCCCACTGCCTGGAGACACAGTCTTCCCTTCTTAACATGTTCTTTGGCCCCTAATTCTCTGCAGCGCCCGAGGGAATACATTCACCAACATCTTATTCACCTCTGTCTCTGTGGCCAACACTCTATTCTAGGAATGCTAGGCCCCCACATTTCTGTCTCCACATGTCTATAGGGCTTCCCCACTTGACCCTCCTTCCCAAAGCTTGGAAGTCCACCTTGCTCTCAGCCTCGCCAGCCCAACTCCAGGAAACAGAGGTCCCTTCCCTTCCCTTCTCTCCCCCTTGGCCCAAAGGCTGCCATCTACAGGATGCAGCCACGTCTACTAACCAGTTGCTCCTGTCCAGGGCAAAGGCCCAGCCAGGTTTTACAAGGAAGCTGAGCAAGCTCCAGAAATGGAAGATTACCCAGCAGCTGAACTTCAGCGTCAACTCGGTGTCCAGTTTCATATCCATGAAAATGTCTACAATGAAAATTAATAAACATTAAAGAAATGGAAGAAGACACACAAAAATGGAAAAATCTGCCATGTTCATTCATTGGTAAAATCGACAACATGAAAATTTCCATTCTACCATAAGCAATTTAGAGACACAATGGGATCCCAACCAAAGGACAAATAACATTTTGCCCAGATGGAAAGAAAACAATGCTAAAATTCATATGAAAACACAGAACATCCGAATACTGAAATCAACCTTATACAACATTGACAAAACTCAAAGCGTCGCAATAACAGATTGTAAGACACAGAACAGGGCAGTTATGATCAAAACAGCTTGGTACAGGCAAAAAAAAAATGACATAGAACAATGGAACAGAAAAGAAACACCTGAAATAACGCACACATCTACAACTACTCTGTCTTTAAAAAGTGCTAAAGATCAATCCCAGGTGCAAAGGACAGTTTCTTCAAAAAATGGTCCTGAGAAAACTGGACCTCCACATGCAGAACTCTGAAAGAAGCCCGATACCTTACACCTTATACAAAAAGCAACGAAAAACACTTCAAGGAACAAAATCTAAAACTGAGTATCATCAAATTACTAGAGAACACTAGTCCACTATGGGTACAGGTTCACATCCATGTCCTCCGTGGGGGGAGGGGAGGCTGACACCAGCGTCTCGGCTTCCTCACAGTTGAGCTCCCACCCACCCCACTGCCTCCAAACCTGTGCATTTGGGGGGAGAACACCGCTGGGAAGCCCCGGATCCCGCATCCTTTGAGGCAGGCCCTGGGCATTTCACTGTCCATAATCTCAAAAGCAGCAAATCCCTCCCGCACTCTCCAAGCCTCCCGTGCCAGTGCCGCCAATAACACCGCCAGCCTGCCACGACGCCACTCCCGCGGACATCTCCTACTTCTTCCCCAGGCCTACTGCGCAAGCGCCATCCAACTAACACCTGCCCCTTCCTCCCAGAATACACAGCGTCAGTAAAGAGGCCGCACTGCCTTGATTAACCAGGGGCAGCGACCTGAGCCCCAGCCTGACATGGCCGCCCTGTGCTCACCATGACCAAATGCGCTCCAAGGGCATCGTTGCTCCCAATGCAGCCCATCAGAAGCTCAGGGCAGTGTGGAGCTCTCTAGACCTCCAGGCTGACACCCAGCCACTCCTGCATGGTGCAGCGCTCTGCCAAACTGCCCGTGGTCAGGGTACTGAACGGCAGATACACGCCCAGCATCCTTGCCCTTGTCTGTCCCAGGGCTGCTGCCAGGAGTCAGACAACCAAGTGCACGATGTGTTGCGCTCCGGACAGAGAGGTAGGGTGGGGACAATCACTGTGTACCTAAATTGCATTTATGAAATGCATGGAATTTGGATCTCTTAAATAAAAAACAAATCTTTTGAGAACACCTGCACTGTCTTCTCTTGGTCATTTCCTCGCCCCTCCCCTATGTCACAATTGTAGGTGACTCAGTCGCTCATCACTGTGTCCCTGGGAACAGACTGCCTTGCTGGAAGTCCTAACTCAGAACTTTTCATCCCACACTTGCGGAATACACATTCTTCTCAGTCCCTGGAACTTTCTCTAGGACACAACATATGATAGGCCATAAAACAAGCTTAGTAAACTCAGTAACTGAAATCATTTCACGCATATTCTATGACCAAAATTCAAGGAAATGGAAAATCAACAACTCAAGAAACTCCAGAACATATGCAAACACATGGAGACCGAACGACATGCTCCTGAATGAATGGTGGGTCGTAGGAGAAATCAAAATGGAAATCAAGAAATTTCTGGAAATGATTGAAGATAACAGTACAACATAGCAAAACGTATGGGACACAGCAAATGCAATGTTAAGAGGACACTTTATAACAACTTGTGCCTACCACAAGATATTGGAAAGGCATCAAATAAATGAGCTTTTCAATGCATCACAAAACCTGGAAAACCAACATATCAAACTCCAAATTAGTAGGATGACAGAAATCATGGAAATTTGAGAAGAAATAAACAAAGTTGAAGCAAAAACATTACAAAAGATCACTGAAATGAAAAGCTGATTAAAAAAATTTTTTTACAAACTTGCTGAAAATCTCCAAAACAAACAAACAAACAAAAAAACAGGAATAAGACCCCAATCAGTAAAATCATAAACAAAAAAAACAAACTGTAATAACAGAAACCCAATAAATAAAAAAAAAAAACATCGGGAATTACTACAATGTACTGTTTGCCAATGAATTGGTCACTCAATAAGTCTGCCTTTCATTTAAATAAATATTTTTAAAAACATATGATTATTTCAAATAGATGAAAACAGCTGGAAAAATGCAACATCCTTTCAGAAAGAAAACCTTAAGGAAACTGACTGTAGAAGAACATTCCTCAACAATCAAGGCAATTTATGTCAAACAGCCTGATAGCATCTTATGAATGGGGACAAGTTGGAAGCATTCCCAACTACGATCTGGAATCAGACAAGGATGCACCCTTATTATTGCTATTCAAGATAGTTCTGGAAGTTTTAGACAGAGCCATTAGGCAAGAAAAAGAAATCAAATGGACACAAATTGGGAAGGAGGAAGTCAAAGTATCCCTCCTTCAGAATGACATGATTTTTTAAATGGGGGAACCAAGAAACTCCAGTACAAGATTATTAGAACTCAGAGTTTGGAAAAGTGGCAGGATAGAAAATCAACACACAAAAATCAATAAAATTTGTATACACACAATGTCATGGCTGAGAGACAACTTCAAAGATCCATTCCATTCACAATAGCTACTAAAATTTAAATACCTTTGAGTAAAGGTAACCAAGGAGGTTGAAGATTTAAAAAGCAACTCCAATACTTTTCCAGCTATTTCAAAATATTGAGCTGGATGGAATAGAATTCAACTCTAACAAACACTTTTTGTGAGGCCAGAATTATTCTGACCACAAAAGATAGCTAAACATTGAATGTAAACAAAACTGCTGGCCTAGATTCTAAATGAAAAAGATGCAAACATTCTCAACAAAATTCTAGCCAAACAAAACCAAAATCACACGCAAAAGCTCATGTATAACCTTCAGTTGGAATTCATCCCAGAAATGCCATGATGTTCCACATTTTCAAATTAATACACATGATAAATTATATCAAAATAATTGAAGAACAAAACCACATTGTCAGCCAGTGTTGCGGCTCACTAGGCTAATCCTTCACCTTGCGGCACCGGCACATCGGGTTCTAGTCCTAGTCGGGGCACCGGATTCTGTCTCGGTTGCCCCTCTTCCAGGCCAGCTCTCTACTTTGGCCCGGGAGTGCAGTGGAGGATGGCCCAGGTCCTTGGGCCCTGCACCCGCATGGGAGACCAGGAGAAGCACTTGGCTCCTGGCATCGGATCAGCTCGGTGTGCCAACCACAGTGCACCGGCCACAGCAGCCACTGAGTGTGAACCAACGGCAAAGGAAGACCTTTCTCTCTGTCTCTCTCTCTCACTGTCCACTCTGTCAAAAAAAAAATTAAACAAAGAAATACAAATGGCCAACAATTCCATGAAAAAAATGCTCAATATCATATCACAAGCCATCATGGAAATGCCATCCAAACCACAATGATATGAGCTAACCCTTTCAAAATGGTTAAGCTCCAAAGGACAGAGTCACAATGATAAGGTGGAAGTGGGAAAAGGGGAACACTTAACACACTGCTGTTAAATATGTAAATTAGTGCAGCTGCTATGGAAAACTGTAGGAAGACGACGCCCTGGGGGCTGGAGGAACCTGAGAGAATGGCCTTTGGGGCCAGTGCGCCTGAGGCACCTGAAGCACCTGTGGAAGGGGCAGGTGGAGAGGGGAGGGGAAGACAGGTGGGGGACAGGGGAGGGTAGCATGGTGTGTGCAGGCTGGGCTGCAGACTCCCACTGGAAGGCAGGGCCTGGGGGAGGTCCTGGTCTCAATCTAGGTCCATGAGGACCCCAGGTCTTCATTTATAAACCCGCCAGCCATGCCTAACTCCACCACTCAGCCTGCACCTCTGTCTCTACAGCTCCCTTCTGGGTCATGCTCAGAAGAGGGGCGCCCTCACCCATTTCCCACAGAGCTGCAAATGACAGGGTGGGTGGCAGATGCTGCCATGGGGGCCAGAACTCCCTTCCCACATCCCCCAACAGGCAATCCCTGGAGACCACTAGGAGGTGGCTGGTCAGGTGCCCACCAGTGGGAGCTACCATCCTGAAAACTAGAGCTAGACACAAAGCAGGCCTGGCTCGACACCTCCTCCTGTCATTGGCCACCTGACCAGAGAGGCCCACACTGTTCGCCCTCTCCTGTCCACTGAGCTGAACACAGGTTGGGAAGGTGAGGTGAGGGATCAGTGCTGGCTGTGGTGGGTGGAGTGGCATCATCATAGGCACTTGTTCTAGTCCTGGCTGCCCCGTGAACACACCTGGGAAGGCAGGGGTCAGAGGATGCAAAATCCCCACCCCTAAACCACTCTTCAGGGAACGTGGCCATGGCTAAGCCATGGTGGCCACAAAAGCAACAGACAGCAGCCATGTGGAAGCCAACGGTAAGAGCAGCTTCAGACCCCATGTTAAGGACCCAGAATCACCTGAGAGGCCCTAGAGATGCCAGGGACCAAGGACACAGCATTACTGGTGCTGATGAGGAGCGAGGGGAGGTCCAGACATGGACAGGCCTGGGGCAGCCAGGAATCCCAAGCACCTGCACCACTCCACAGCCTCTCTCCCGGCTCACAAGCACCCAAGACAGGAGCTGGGAACAGCTGGGACTCAAGCTGGCACCCGAAGGCCATGCCAGTGTTGGCTGTAGGCCCAGCTGTGCCACCTCGCTGTCCCTGATTCCACCAAACATCAAGTGCCTGAGCTCCTAGAGCTCTGAAGGCGTCCCCAGTGCTGAAGATGGTGGGGTTTTAGGGTTTTAAGATATTTTTTATTTAAGATGCAGATTTGCAGAGAGAGAGAGATCTTCCACCTGCTGGTTCATTCCCCAAATGGCTACAGCAACAAGAGCCAGGCCAGGGTGAAGCATTAACTATGCATGTGCACACCACACACTTGCACAGTACACATACACATGTGAACCTACATGCACACAGAACACACACATACACACACACTAACATCACCGTCACGGTCCACACAGGTGATCTTACTCCAGGAAGGGGGTGGCCTGCCTGCTGTGGTCCACAGGGAAAACAGAAGCAGTAACTGCACCCAGGAGCCACCAGGGTGGGCACAACTCTGACGCTGGGGCTCTGAGCAGAGTCCAGGGGCAGCAATGTGCTCTGCCCCTCCCTGCCTTCAGGACATGGAGTCCTGGGGCCCTAAGGGGCAGCTGCGAGGACTGGGTTTCACATTGGTTTTTGTAGGAATGTGTGGAACCCCTTGGCACTGAGAACGTTCCTGGTCCCAGGTGGGTCTGGGCCAGGAGGAAGACTCCCTGACCAGGCCAGCTCTGACTCTTGCTCAGGACCTGCATGGCTGCTTCTCCTCCAGTGCAAGACACAAACACATCCAGAGAGAGGGAACAAGAGGCCAGGGCCAGCGCACTGAGGACAGGCCTCTGCCTGGGACCATGGCCTGGCCCTTCAGGGTCTCCGACACTCACCAGGATGAAAGCAGCCATGGGGTGTGGGTGGAGACTTAGGGTCCTGGGTTCTCCAGTGCCGGTACCAGCATGGCCCTGCGTCCTCTCCAAGGTGAGCATCAGAAGGAGATTGGCGGGGGGAGGCAGCCCCTTAACCTGGGCCCTTTTGGACATCTGCAGTCACCTGTGTCCACAACAGGTGCTGGTGTCCTTTGCGCTTTGCTGGGTCCCTTCTCAGGGTGCATTTCTGAGTGGAGACCATGGACCCCCGAGCCCACTGCCCCCTCCTCAGCACCCCTCCACTAGGGCCAGCGACCCGCCTGCTGCGCAGGCTCACTGAGGGGGTCTGTCCCACACACCCCCCAGCCCATGCCAGTTGAAGCATGTGCAGGAAGGGCCTGTGGGCTGAAGTATGCATCCGGGCACAGCCCATTCCGAGTTCACTTCTGGACTGAGTGTGTGTGTGCGCTGCATATGTGTGACTGCAGAGCTCAGAGCCAGGCTACAACTGGCTGCATGTAAAACAAACTCAGGAGCTCCAGAGGGGACAGTGTTCCAGAAGCCGCATTCAAAACTCCATAGGGAATAGGAGGGACCTGGGCTCCTCTTCCTTTAAGCGTACTTCAGGGCACCCACGCTCAGCAGCTGCCCCCAGTGTCTACCAGCTCCTGAGGCCATCGCCTGTCCTCTGGCAGCTCCCAGCCTCTAGCGCCCAGCAGGTTCCTAAGGGTGGGGCCCACATGCTTGCAGGGTACATACCTATCAGCGAAGGAGCCCGTGATCTGAGGCCACAAATGCCAAACCAACCGTGAAACACTGTGGGCGAGGACAGGTTAGGGAGGCCCATGGCTACCTTAGCTGGCTCCTGGACACCAGTGACCACCTCTCTCCCTGCAGGGTTCTCACCCCCAACTCCACACCCCTGGACCCCTCAGCCAAGGCTTCAACCAGCGTTCTTCATAGAAATGGTCCAGGCGGCTGTAGACACTTCACTGACCTTGCTGAGGATGGCCCACAGAAGTGCAAGTCCTGGGACGCGGGGTGGTTTCTTCCCACTTGAAAAGCTGGAAATGCGGCCAGGGGTATGGCGGCCCATGGTCTGCAGGAGGCCGGGTCAGCAGGATCGTCGGGCCACACAGAGCCTGGCTCTGAGTCCCACAGCTTCGTCGAGGATGAGGCCCCGCCATGAAAAAACTCCCCCAGCAGAGAACGGGAACAAACATTCCTGGGGAGAAACCAGGTTTTGCAGGGGCCAGCCAGGCCAGGGCAGGTGGGGCAGGGATACAGAGGCTACAGGGGTTGGGGCACAGTGTCAGCTTCTGTGGCTTCTGTCTCCCTCTAACTGTGCCCCTTCCCCACTGTGGTTGTGGAAGCTCCCCAGGAGGGCCTGGCCTCGCTGACAGATGCACCAGGGACCCCCAGCAGCCCAGATCCTGGAAGGCAGCTTCCCACACCACAACACAGTCCCAGTTGCTGACTCTGGAGGTTTCAACGGGTGGGTGTGGGTGGCAGAACCTGCTGTCCCTCTTGGCACTGGGTCCGTGTATATGAGCCCCTCCCCAAAGTCACTGAGGGGCAGAGACCTGGGGTGGGACCCCTTGGGGTGGGGAGGGAGAAATGGTTCCAAGAGGGTGGGGGGTGTGGCCTGGCAGCTGAAGGTACTCTAGTGGCCGGGCACGGTGACTCTTGGGCAGGTGCCTGTCCATGGGCAGTTTGCTCCACTGCCCACGGCTCCAATTGTTCTAGGGCCCTTCCCTTGGCATTGGGCCAGTGTTGGAGCCGGGGCCAGCATTGATGTTCAATCTGCCTAGACTCTATAATTTGAAGATTCATTTTCTAAGAATTTTTTCTTTATTTATTTAAGAGGAGGGAGCGAGAGCGCACGCTCCTCCTAGGTGTCTGAAGTGCTGGAGCCCCAGGATGAAGCTGGAAACCAGAGTGGAGCCTGGATGGAAACCCCAGGTCTCATCCTGGTGCTCTCACTGCTGGGCCCAAAGATTGCCCAAGCAGTTTACACACACTGCATCATGGGTCTAATTAAATGCATCATGGGTCTACTCATGTGTATGAAAATAGGGAAATAGAGTTTAGAATACCTTGGCAACTGAAACCTCATACTGTCCTTAGCTAAGATCTTAGATACATAAAGATTTGGGCAAGGTTCATCTGCCAGTGTCCTTGTCCCACTGTGGTATGTTCAATTTGTCGTTTTCTGGTGACTGTCAATTGAGGGTAAAGCCCACAGCACTGACTCTTACCCAGCCTGAGGAAGACCTGCGAGCAGAGAAGGGGCAGCTCTGTTGTGATTGATTTGAAGGAATGCTGTACACTTACTCATCCCTGCTCTGGGGTTAGTTTAAAAACTAGGTTCCATTGGTTATGAGCCCTGTAAGAGCCCGTCTACACCTGCCACCCCGTGATGGGCTGGGAAGTGGACCAATGTGGAGAGAGTGGCCAGTGCACAAGAGCGAGTGTGCTCCACACGTGGCTCACAGTCCCACTGAGGGCAATGACCTCACCTGCACAGAATGTTGGCACAGGCCAGACTTCTGTGATGTCATCCTCCGTGGCAGTTATTAGGCCTTGCTGCCAGCACAGTGGCACAGGGACAGGCGCCGAGGGCAGGGACAGAGCAGGGAGAGCAGGTCTGTGGGGAGAGGGCCTGGGGAGCAAGGGAGTGGTGGACATGGGAGGGAAGGGAGAAGGCAGGATGGGGGTATGGGCACGGGCAGGGTAATGGAGGATGGGGACAAACAGAGTGGTTCAGGGGTGGGCCAGGGTGGGCCGAGGGAGGGCGAGGGAGGGCGAGGGGGCGAGGGTGGGCCGAGGGAGGGCAGGGTGGGCGAGGGTGGGCCGAGGGAGGGCGAGGGTGGGCGAGGGTGGGCCGAGGAGGGCGAGGGAGGGCGAGGGTGGGCCGAGGGAGGGCGAGGGTGGAGGTGGCGAGGGAGGGCGAGGGGGGCCGAGGGAGGGAGGGGGGAGGGTGGGCCGAGGGAGGCAGGGAGGGCGAGGGTGGGCGAGGGTGGGCGAGGGAGGGCGAGGGTGGGCGAGGGTGGGCCGAGGGAGGGCGAGGGGGCGAGGGTGGGCCGAGGGAGGGCGAGGGTGGGCCGGGGGAGGGCGAGGTGGGCGAGGGTGGGCCGAGGGAGGGCGAGGGAGGGCGAGGGCGAGGGGGGCCGAGGGAGGGCGAGGGTGGGCCAGGGTGGGCGAGGGAGGGCGAGGGTGGGCCAGGGGGCGAGGGTGGGCGAGGGAGGGCGAGGGTGGCAGGGTGGGCCGAGGGAGGGCGAGGGTGGGCCGAGGGTGGGCCGAGGGAGGGGAGGGTGGGCCGAGGGTGGGCCGAGGGAGGCTGAGCATGGGCTTCTTGTGGAATTGGGAGGGAGAAGGGGAACACGGGGTGATGGTGGTGGCAGGCATGGAATGGGGCACTGGATCCAGGACAATGGGGAGAGCAGTGGAAGAGGAGACTGGGGGGGCAATGGGGGGCTCTCTGTAGCATTCATGCTGCACCATGGGTACGTGGGGAGAGTGTGGGTATTTCTCAACCCAACCCTGGCCTTCCCTCCCTTGTGAAATGGCAAGGGTTTGAATCCCTGGAACCAGATCCAACTCATTGCCTGTGTTTATAAATAAAGGTTCCACATTGATCTGAAAACTACCATGTGGTGTGTAATTTTTCCACAAAGATTTATGCATTGGAAACAGAAATGAGCAAAAGAGGTGGTGACAGAGAGGTCTTCCTTCCTCTGGTTCACTTCCCACAGGACCCCAACAGTCAGGTAGGGGCCAGGATGGAACCTGGAGCAGGGAACTCCTACTACTCTCCTAAATGGGTGGTAGGGCCAAAGTACTTGGGCCTGGATATGCTGTATTCCTAGGCACATAAGCAGAAGACTGGATGGGAAGTGGAGCAGCTGAGACTTGAAATAGTGCTCCAACGTGGCAGCTTAGCTGAGCAGAAGCTCCAAAAGACACTTCCCTTGTGAAGTGTCAGTGAGTGTAAGAGTTTGCACACCCTAGGGATGGAAGGTGGTGTTCCATCTGCTAGTTCACGTGCACACCACACTGGGTACTACTGCCTGAGACAGTGTTGGGACCCCCACAGGCATACATACAATCTTTGGCACCTCCCCTTGCCAGCTGAGGGAGGCCTGGTTTTGAGTGAGAGCTTCACTGAAGAGGGCCGACTCACCTCGTGGGGACTAGAGATGGGAGGGGAGGTCCTGAGCCCAGCAGGATCCTAGGCTGTGTCCGGTGCTGAAGGAGGCTCATGTCTGGCTTTCCCCAGCAATATGTCCGACAGCTATAAACATGACAAAACCAACAACTTTTAAGGCCTCTGGGAATCCACCAAAAAACCCCCAAACCAACCAACCACAAAACAGACAGCACTGATTGATGGAGAATTGCTGACTGCCCAGGAAAGAAGAGTGGGAGAAGGTGGTGTGCTGGCCTGGAGCTGTGTCCCTTTCCTCCTCCCCACCCTGAGCTTGTGGTGCTACCAGGGTGGGTAAAGGTTGTCTGTCAAAACCAGCAGTTTGGTTCCTGGACATGGTGCTGAGGGGAGAGCAAGAAACCCATGCTCAAGTCCTCGCCAGTAAAAAGAGCAAACTTCACAGGACAGAATGCAGGAAAGCAGCAGTCCTGCTGGCCTGAGGTTGGACGCCCTTTGGGACAGGGGAAGACCAGTGTGCCAAACAATTTTTTATTTTTTTTATGATTAGGTATTTATTTGAAAGCCCAAGATACAGAGACTGTGACATAGAGAGATCTTCCATCCAACTGGTTTACTCCCCAGGTGGTTGCATGAACCACTATGGGACCAGGCCAAAGCCGGGAGTCAGGAGTCAGGAGTCGAGACTTCCCGGTCTCCCGTGAAGGTGGCAGGGCCCCAAGCACTTGTTCCATCTGCCACTGCTTTCCCCAGGATATTCGGGAGAATCCTGATCAGAAGTGGAACAGCCTGCATACAAACCAGTGCCCATATGGGACGCTGCCATTACAACGGTGACTGAACCTACTATGCTACAACACTGGCCCCAAATTTTTTTATTGATTGGAAAGGCAGGGACACACAAAAGAGAAAGGGCCAGATGGGGAGAACGTCCATCCTTGTTTAGCCCTCCAAGTATGCACAACATCCATGGCTGGGCCAGGCAGAAGCCAGGACCCAGGCATTCAACCTGGGTCCATGTGAGTGGCAAGGACCCAACAACTTCAGCCACTACCTGTTGTCTCCCAGGGTGGGTATTACAGGAAACTGGAACTGCAAGTAGAGCTGGGACTTGAACTCAGGCCCTCTGTTATGGGAGGGAGCATCCCAACAGGTGGTGTCATCGCTGTGCCACACACCCTCCCCCCAAGAGAAGTTTACCAGGAGAATCCTGGATGCCATGGTTGAGCTAGACTGAACTCAGCAACCAGGAGCTTCATTCACATCTCCACGTGGGAAAGCAGAGAAGATGGCCCATGTCTTTGGGCCTCTGAATCCACCTGGGATACCTGGGGGAAGCTCTATGAGCCATGGCATGCAGAAGATCTGCTCCACCCATCCACGGAGAGAGAGCCATGTTCCCAGAACCAGCTCTCTGTGGCTGCTCCACCTTGGGTTTTGAGCCCCTGAGCCTCTGATATGTTGAGTGCCTGGGAGTACCTCACAGTTTTACCTGGGTACACAGCCCCCATCAATCCCTCCCAGCCAGACTCAAGGTCAGTGGGGAACAAGGGACTTTGCTCTCTGGCAATATCCCTGGATCCCACACGTGCACCAAGGTCACTCCGCCAAAGCCCCTCCTTGTTTCACAATGGCACCTTCTCCCCACCATCCTCCAGCTGAACTGCAGCTGCTGGGCACATGCCCGAGACCTGCTGCAGCTGCTACTTACACCTATAATTCCACCTGCCCTCTCTCAGCACCTGTTTGTGGGGGAAACGGGGAGAGGGAAATGTGCCCCTTGTCCCACTGGGTAAGTGGGTGCCCTGTTGCACTCAGGACTCCAGGCTGCATTCACAGACAGCGCAGTCGACCAGGGCTCTCCCTCCAGCTAGATCACCAGTGTCACAGGTTTCTGCACTCTGATCTCACTCACTCTCCAAAGCTGATGCAGCTCCTGGGGTCATGTGCTGTGTCTGTGCTTGCTGCTTTGCGTCCACGTGGGCCTTCCACCATGATCCACGGTATCCTTCTTCCTTCCTCAGCACTTCCTGTAGTTTGCTCTCCAAGTCTCCCTAAGAATATACTTCATCCACTTTTTTTTTTTTTTGCTGTTTTCCCCTAGCCTAAAGCAGTACACCCCTTCCCCATTCTGCTCTTTTGGAATCTCCAAGATGCTTTACTTTTAAAATGGCTTGCCTCATGAACGGGCATAGCAACACAGCAGAACACAATTTATTGTTTAGAGGTCTGGCATAAGCAAATTCAGTTCAGAATACTAATGTTAGATTTCGTGGCATTTATTCTCACTAGTTAATTTTCAGAAGTCTTACTAACAGTAAGGAATTCCTTTGGGAAATTTAGCAGTTTCCTTGCTGAAAACCACTGGGTTACATTGTTTTGGGAGTGGAACATTGTGCCCTCCTTAGAACATTAGTGAAGGCCTTGATAGTCACTCTTTGGCAAACAACTCTGCTGCTGAAAATACAAAGGGAGAGACAGGAGTGACATTTGCATTTTGATTTAGATAGTACTTTGTTCTCAACTATTTATGGTCTCCTTTGCTCTTCAGAGTGCACTTGTACACACACACACACACACACACACACACATTCCTCTGATATAAAGTATTCTGTACAGAGAATCGAGCCAATTAACTGAGACATGAGCAATGTAGAGAGTAGAGTATAAGGAGAGAAAAATTCACTGCTCTACAATTATATCAAACACGATGAAGATTCACTGCCGGTCTGATGTCTGTTTTAGGGGATCATATGATAACAGCTTTTCCCCTTCTGGTTTTTTCATTTAGCTGTGCTTTCAGATTTTTTTTTTCATGTTTTGGTAATCTTCCTTTAAATATCTGTACAAGAGTTAACATTGCAATGTGGCATTGCTACCAGTACTCTGCTATGTGATACTTATTTTAACACCTTTGATAGTCTGAGAAAATTTGATGGGTTAGTTTTTTCTGGAGCGATTCCTTTACTTCACTTATTTTAAACTACTGCTTTTGGTAATGCCGTTATGAGGAGTTGCCTTCACTTCTTGCTCCTGGAATCACGACTATCATGAATATTCTGCTTTCTGACTCCTGGCAGCTCAGGTGAGATGACTCAGCCTTTTGAAAGCCTTACTCAGCAGTTGCACTCCCTAGAATATTTCTGACTTCTTTCAAAATATTTTAACCAAAAAAGATTTTGAAGGCAAAATGAGAAAAGGTTGAAATTAAGTTATATACATATATTGCATATCTTATCTTTGTCTTTCAAATTATTTCTGTAGTGGAATATAAGCACTCTAAGGGCTAAGCCATGCATATACTACAATAAACATTTATGGAATGTGGTATTATTTTCAAAAGCCTCAACAAAAAGCAGCAGTAAAGCTGAAATATCATATGTTTGAGATATATATAAATACCAATATCCAAAATGTTAGCATGATGCAATTATTTGTTTCTGACTACAGATTTCCTGATATGATCATGGTATATAGTTTAGCATTAGACCAAGATTTATTGCCTCCATAAAAACAAC